CTTTTTATTTGGCAATAAATGGCCGCGGCATTTTTTATTGGTTTACCGTACTAAATACATTGAATAAATTTAAATAATGGGGGTCACAACGGCTCCTGTTTAAAAAGGGGTCTTCAGCCAATCAGAGGCCATCAAAGAAAACGAGTTTTCCCACCTGAAATGGTAAGTTTGCCTGGATACAGTCTTCATCCAATCGAATTCAAGATAGTTTTCCCGCCTAAAACCGTAAGTCTGCCTGGATACTGTAGGTAACCAATCACCTGTCGGGAGGAAAGCAGAAAGAGCGGGAAAACCAAACAAGATGGGGAACAGAACGACTAGACACTGCAGATCCACGAGGGGGAGGGGGGGGGGCTCGTTCATCCCCCCTTTCCATTCTTCACGGCACCCCAACGCACCTCCAGGCAGCAGTGCATTGCAAAAAAAAGTAGTGTGTGTGCTACTTTATTTTATTGAACAGCAATACCTAGAAAAAGAAGAGAGTGATCAAAGGGTACCACATCCCATAAACAAAATGTTTTGTTCACATCCTTGTAATATCTTGATTGATGTACTTAATAGGGGGTATACGGAGGGATAGTGCTCAAAGTTCAATGCTTAACATGTTTCATGGATAACAACTGCTTCTGTGAAACACATTATAGGGGGGAATTTATCAAAACTGGGGCAAACAGAATCTTGAGCAGTTGCCCATGGCAACCAATCAGCATCTCTCTTCAGTTTGCTCAGGTAAGATTTGAAAAGGAGACAGAGAAGCTGATTGGTTGCAGTGCAAATCTGCTCAGGTTTTGATAAATTCCCCCCAGGGCTGAGCATTGAACTTTGAGGACAATTCCTCCGTGTACCATTAGGTACATCAATCAAGATATGACATGGATGTGAACAAATACACTCTAATGTAAAGTGGGGATTGGTATAAGAAGGTGATATAATAATATTCATGACAAACATTAATTATTGGACAAGTGATTTTGTTGATGTCTTTAATGTATGTCTTTTTTTATGGACTTTTCAATAAGCTAACATAATAATATTTTTGAATGGTCCTTTGGGTACCTAAAAAGTCAGTTTCAATGCTCTAGTCTTCAATAAGTATTGAACAGCAATGCAGAGCACACTAATAGGGTACATGACTGGGAGTTGCATTCCGCTGTGTGATAGGGTTCCCTATGATGTGAAGGGGCCCTGAAACGCAATACAAACTCTGAGCCCTCGTTCACATCTGAACGTTTTGTAGCGCGTTCTATGCTCGACGAACGCTCTACAAAACGCTCAAAAATATAAATCCCATTGTATTCAATGGTCTCGTTCCCACCTTGGCGTATTTCCGCCCGTCCCTAACGCGCTACAAAACGGCCTACGCCTGCAAAGGTACATGTACTACTTTGGGCCGTTTTGTTGCGCGTTTCCATTGGGATACAGCCAAGTAGCCTTCGGAAACGCGCGACGGTCGCGCAACTTTTTTCTAGCATGTGCTGCATTGCGTTGTGCGATAGCGTGCGCTAAACGCACAGAAACACATCTGGAGAGAACAAGCTCTAAAATTCTGCTCACACCATTGTGCTGCGCTAAACACATAGAGGGGAACTTATCAAAACTGGAGCAGACAGAATCTGGAGCAGTTGCCCATGGCAACCAATCAGCTTATCTTTTTCTTTTTCAAAGCTTACCTGAATAAACTAAAAAGAGAAGCTGATTGGTTACTATGGCAACTGCTCCAAATTTTGTCTGCTCCAGTTTTGATAAACTCCCCCTGTATCTGTGCAATTAGAGCACGCAATCACACAATGCAGTGCACACTAGGTGCGCTGGTGTGTTCATTCTGAATGGCACCTAATGTACCCCCGGCAGCCGTGTGTTGTTGCTGTGCGTTGAAAAAAACTAGTGCATGGACTACAAAATTTCAATGCATGGCAACACAATGCAGGCTATTAGGGTACAATGCACGACTGCTGTGAGGTGCATTGGGGTGGCATTCCGAATGAATGGCAACGCAAAGCACCAGCATGCATTTATTGCGTTGTGCGACAACATATGCTAAAACGCACAGACTCTGTGCCGGTTTCTGGAAACAACATGGTGTGAATTGGCTCTAAATGCAATTCAGTTCGGGTTTTACATGTACCTCTGCCTGTTAGTGCAGTGCAGTCATTATATTAAACTAGGCAGCTCTGTTCAGCGACGATGAGGAAAGCAGGCTGCTTCCTTCTATTTCCAGTAAGATTCTCCTGACCCAAGTTCTTGACAAACACAGGATCTGACTAAAAATGTCCCAACACCCATCAGGAAAGCCTGAGTGTGACATGTAGGAAACCCCACCACTGTGACAGGAGGGCGGGGACTCAGGGCACACCACCATCACACCCACGCAGGTGGCAGATACAATGTACTGAATCAGGGTGTGTGATGGCGGATGGAGGGTCAGGTACATGGGAAGACGCTGTTTATAGCTATGAGGAAATGGAAGCGCTAGACGTGTTCTTATTTCCTTATCAACGCCATATGCCAGAGACTTTATGCCAAGTCATGTGACTCAGGAAGAAAAGGATAGCCGCAACGGTCTCCCGTCAGAGAGTGACGTCATCGTGGGCGTGTCATTTGTCAATGAGCGGAGGACGGGACTGTCACTATGAGCTAGAATTAGTAGCAGTGTATACACACCGAACACTTTAGCTCCGCACTCCAGTGACAGCCCTGTGTGATCCTTCCCCCTACACAAGGTCATCACAAGCATTTGCTGGAGAAGAGGTTCTACAGATCTACCTGGATATATATATATACACAGGAGGGTAAGAAAACGTGTTTATTTATTTATGACTGACTCATTGTTTATGGAATGAGTATTTAGTTTCTTCCTTTAGATATATATTGTATATATTGCCTTGCAAAAGTGTGTTCTATATCATTACAACCTAGAATTTAAAATTGGGTGGGGTTGTACTATGTAATGTACACAACATTTCTACCACTTTCTAGGTGCATCATTTTTATTGTGACACAAACAACAATTAAGGCAAAACATTTGAAATCTTGAGTGTTCAGATGTATTCCCCTCCAACCAAAAGTCAATACATTGTAGAGCCACCATTTGCTGCAATTACAGCTGCAATTCTCTTGGGGGTATGTCTCTATTGGCTTAAGTATGGCCAGCCCAAAAATCCATTTTAATGGCAGGTTGTATTGCAATAAAACAGGGAAAACACCAAGGGGGTGAATACTTCTGCAAGGTATTGTATATACAGCAGTACTAGGTGGCGATGACTGTGCATATTAGCAACAATGTCCTTGTAGGTTTGGCTAAGTCATCTTCATACGAGTACTACGCCAAATACTCGGTATCGGCACCAATACCGATATTAGTATCGGTATCGGTGCATCCCTATTCCGTTTAGCATGGATGGGGGAATCGAGTGTATGGCTAACTTTTTTTATAGCACTGATTGCTCTTATAATTACACTGATGTTTCCATGTTTTTTGATATCAGTGAAGGCCACGCTAGGATTTATGTGAGTGAACGTTACCAGCTGCAGCAAAAAAAACACCCTAAAAAACAAAATAGCTACTGTATCTGGAGCCTAGCGCAACACAGTAGCTATTTTAATGTTTCCATGTTGTATGCCTGCAAAGTGGCAACTGGGGCCTGGTGAACTACAGTGGCTTTGTTGGCACATAAGTGCAATGTACTCAGCTAGATCTAAAGATGTCAGAAAAAAGAAGCGGAAATAATTATTTAGTGTGAGGCTACAGAAAACGTAACTTTTGGTTTGTCACGCAATTGCATTTCAATGGTCACATGCTGTATGCATGCATGGGAGCAGCCTATATTCAGATATTTGCCTGTGTGTCTCCAAAACATTGGACGATCTATACATACTCACTATGCTTCATTAGGTAAATGAAAAGTTGATTTTTGTAGTGTTGGCTTTTTTTTCTACAAAATCCTCAGTTAACAACCATCAGAGTAGAACCATTAACCCATCAGTCACAAGTCCCCAGGGTATGTGCACCAACCCCTTAATGACCAGATTGTATGAATTGTGCATTAAAACCTCTGTCATCCTACTCCATAGGATAGGTGTTAATCTGTCAGTGACCAGTATGTGTCAGTGCGGGCTGTCAGTTTGGCACCCACAGTGTCAACATATGTATTGATTTCTTATTCATTTTTGCTGTACTCCACCAAGCATCATCCTCACAATGAAGGGGGATGCATGAGCCCCCAAAACACATTTTTAAAATGAACTTTGCACTCTGATCATTATAGTTTTACTGGACTTTTCATACATATGTAATCTTTGGTTTATCTTGGGCACCCAGTGGACAACCCTGATGTTAGAGAGCAGTCGTGAAAGACTCAGGACTTTATTATCTATCATCTATGTCCCTATTGTCCAGTGTTTCGTCAATACCTTCTTTAGGCATCGTCTGTTTAAACAGCCCCGATGCTGGCGACGTACACTGTACGTCGTCAGTCACGAAGGGGTTAATGGGATTGTGTATTGACCACACTACGAGAAAGAGCAGACATCTAATTCGGTACCCCAGGTGACACTGGAAAGGAATATCTCCATCACTTTTTGCACTGCAGTAAGATGACAGCAGATCAAACTCAGGTAGCTCCTGCATCTCCACATGCAATTCAGCCTCAATAGCCACAAAGTATATAAATCTAAATGTCTTTACAAACCTAGTTGTTACCTTGTAGTAGTAGCAGTGACATCATCACTGTGCCACACAAAGCCTGGGAGGAACCCAACGGGTCCACCCACTACAGCCTGCTTGAAGAAAACTACAGGAGGGGCGGATACAAGACCAGTCACAAGACACAAGGAGAGGATGCAGCGCTGACTGGTCTTTATTAGAGGAAGCTCCTGCACAGAGGCAACGCTTAAAGCTGGATTACTGCACAGATCTGGAGGAAAAACACCAAACACACAAAGATTTAAATAAGAAAACACATGCCTCTTATATTTAGATAATATTTGCTTATTCCAGATGATTGAATATGGCTCCAGTCAAAGAAGTAGAAAATAAGAAAGCACCACCAACGTAAGTATTCAGTATTGAATAGAAAATAACTAATAGTTAATGGTCCGTGATTAGTGCACATTTATTTCGCTTTTATGTCAATAAAATTAGTCCTTAACATGAGACAATGAGGGAAATTGTTAATTTATTTCATAAAGGGTAAACATTATTGTGTACCTTAAAGGAGAACTATGGGGTGAGTGAATTACACTCATCCCCATAGTTAGAGCCCACGTGTGACATTGAAACTGTCACACGTCGGTTCTATTGATCAGGTAGTGAGTGAAAACATACTGCCAATCCGCTCACTTCCCGATCATCTCCCTGCAGAGAGCGTTGACTCTCAGTCATGGCTCCCTGCAGGGTTTCCCACCCTCCCCACTCCGATCCTCAAGCGCTGAGTGGAGGAACGGACGGGGGGGGGGGGGGGGGGGGGCATAGCTGGCTCTGCCTCTAGATAAGCAGAGCTTGCTTTCAATCAGCCAGCGGGGTGTATCTCAGCAGTATTGTCGGAATCTGTTACGGCTGCAGCGCTCTCAGCATATAGCGGGCAATAGCCCGTATACTGAGTTTGAGGTCACGGGAGGACGTTAGTATATGTCCTCCCGTGACCCTAAAGATAACTATGTAAAAAAAAGGTTACCCCATAGTTCTCTTGTAAGTATTGGCTAGGTAATAATATTGCTATTTTGTAATAGTTATTTTTAGTCAGATAAAGTTTTTTATATTTCTATTTTTTTCTTGGCTTTATCCTGTCATTTTTCTCCCCCTTAGTGTATGTAAAGCAAGACTAGTTGTCTTGCTTTATAGCAATTAACAGTTCACACCACACTCTCTCTTCCCCAGGTCATTACTATTATATCTTTGTAACAATTTCAATCAATAGCAAAGCAAACTGCTAGACTTAAAGGAGAACTATGAGGTGAGTGAAAATCTGTCACATGTGAAATCTGTTAAACTGTCACATGTCGGCTCAATAGATCAGGAAGTGAGCGAACGCATACCGTCGCTTGCTCACTTCTCGATCATGTCCCTGCAGAGAGCGGTGACTGTCAGTCAGGGATCCTGCAGGGATTAACCCCCCCCCCCATCTGATCCTCCAGCACTGACTGGCGGAACGGACGGGGGAGCAGGCGGGTACAGCTGGCTCTGCCTCTATGTAGGCAGAGCCAGCTTTCATTCACACAGCTGGGGGGATCACAACAGCATTGTCGGGATCCGTCCCGGCTGCGGCAGTCCCAGTATACCGCGATATACTGAGCCTTGTGTCACGGGAGGACGCTAGTATATGTCCTCCCGTGACTCTTAAGAGAACTATGGGGAAAAACACTTACACTATAGTTCTCCTTTAACCGCTTGAAGACCAGGTGTTTAGTGGGGGGGCGCACGTCTCGAGGCTTCATACAAGCGATCCGCCGGCTCTATAGCCGGCGGATCGCTTGTATATTAATGGGCATTGCTGTTTTCAAATAACGAGCATTTCCGCGAAGTGCACCCGAGCGGGTGGAAGTAACAGGACGTGTATACACGCCCAGTTACATCCAAGAAGCTCCCGGCCGGCCATGTATACACAACGGCCGGCTGGGAGGTAGTTAATGTGCATCAACCCAACAGCACAATAGCACTATCACTGTGCTACATCAATGGGGTTACTGATCAAAGGAGTTTTCAGAGTCCAGCTAACAGGCACACAATGTTTATGACTACGTTGTTACAGAGTTTACAAACCAAAGAATATTGTAGAGTTTATAACCATACCAAAGTTTATGTAACCAATGGTTGAAGGGTCACAAACAAATCACTGATACCTCACTGCCTAGTCCATTGCTTTAGTCCTCCAGCTGGCGATATTCAAGTCTCGTGTGATACTCGGGCTCTCTCGTGTGTTATTCGGGCTGCAGTTTCTTTAGGAGCACACTGCTCTCTCCCCCACGATCCACAATCCAGCTACCTCCAATCTCCCGCTTGTAAGCTCTTCTTCAAGAGCCTTCCATAGTGAACTAACTGCAGGTGGATGCAAAGACAAATTGTGCAGACTGAGGTATACCAAACCTCTTTCAATTTATTATACATCAAAACTGGAATTAAAAAGCATATCACATGTATTCTGACCCGGGTTTTGTCCTACGGCTTTCTCAGGGGATATTAGATCTCCAGAACATATTTACACACATACAGTATATCACATCCTAACACCTCCTCTTTCCTCTTACCTCAGTTTAACACTCTATAATGCATTCTGATATATTGAATAATGCAGCATAATAAAAATTCATCTAAAAATGTAGCTCAATTTTATACATACCCTGCAAGGAAATTCTAATTTTTACACATTATTTTATAAGGCAATGCATTTAAAAATTATTTTATTATCTCTCTCTTATAGCTCTCAAGTGCTCCTATTACTTTTTACCCCTCCAGTCTCCATATATCCTCTCTTGCACTAATTGTTAGGCTGCTTGAAATTTTGTTATGAAACCTCTTATAATAATCAAGCACACTATGAGTGGTGAGTTCCTTTTTTATATTATGGAAGTATAGTCCTATTATTCTGACTCCGATTGTTGTATGCCTGGCCTGTATAAACAGATATAAACACTGCGAACAATCCTTATCAGATAGCTGAACTCACCAAATACCTTTTCTTCCACGTAGAGCTTTATTGCAAGCAGACAAAAAGCTACAGCAGATGAATGAACTTATGGTACTTGAAGGTCAGAGATGGTAATGTTTCCAAGCAAGCATGTACATGTGCATGCGGCCATATTACAGTCAGCCATGACACCAGAAACGACCAGCTCATGAAGGGAAATACATCATAAATTAAAAAGAACACAGAAAAAGTGGTGCAATACCCAAAACGACCACAAGATGGCAATATAATAACCAGCTACTAATGCCAATGAGCAAATGGCTTAAAGAAAATGTAAACTTCTCACTTCACAGTAATATGAATATTACCGTGGCTATGCATCGTGTCATGTTTATACAACTGTGTAACAGCACACCTATTCTGGTTTTGAATGTCCTATACATGTTTCCAATATATTGGTGTCCACATGGGCACTGATTATAGTATCAGAATTTATATGCAATGTACATTTTTTTTGATTGGACTGAAACTTCTTACTATTCCTGAAGTCTATAGTACAAATCTGACACCCCTTTCTTTTAAATCACAGGAAACAAACATTTAAAGTGACCCTGTGCCCAGATTATTAACATTAAACTATTTGCATATTCTTAATGCACAATAAAATAGTTTTAAACCAAGCCTATTCTAGCTGCATTTAATGGGAACTTATTCATTCTCAAAGATATTCAATGATCACAACAAAGACTCTGTCGTGTTTCAGTCAGTTTCTAACAGCTTAGAAACATCTGCTGGATGGTTACAGTAAAGAGCTGGCAGGCTGCCCCTCAGTGACCACACCCCTCAGTGGCCACACCTTTTAGCAGCCACACCCCCAGTAACCACACACATTTTCCCCAATATCCGCACCATTTAAAGACTCCAATTTTGTTAAGTCGCAATGAAACATATTAAAAAGTATGATAAAAATAAAACTTTTATTCTAAGGTATAAAACTTGTCGGCACAATATAAGTATTGTTATAAAACAACAGAAGGCAAACAATAAATGTCAAACTAAAATACAGTCTATAACAAAAAAGTGTCAGGATGTCATGCCGACCCCTTTCTTCAAGTAAGTATATCTAGAAAAGTAAAAATAGAAAACAGAACACAAAACCCAGACTACATGTAAAATTAATGAATTACTATATGTCAGAATATACGAAAATAATTTTTAAAATTGGTGCGCGCAAGGGGGCGTGTCTGAGCGGACGTCTAGAGACGCCCGCTCAGATCGAGAGAGCTCCTGGCCGGCCGTTTTTTTACTACGGCCGGCCCGGAGGCAGTTAAATAATTTTTTTGTAAATGTTTTATTATTAATTTTTTACTGTTGGGGGGCTTCGGGGAAATATTTTTTGGGGTCCAAACAGACCCCTGACATTTCCCTTTTAAAATAGAAAATAAATTGAGGACACCAAATCCTCAATTTCTTTTTCAGCAGCCTCAGCACTCAATGAATGGGAAGCACTCAGTACGGAGGCTCCTCCCATTCATTCAGAAACTGATAGTAAAATATTTACTATCACCAGTAAATATCAATGATATTTACCGATCCCCTGCTCTGCCACACACAGAGCCGCTGTCATCCTGAAACTGACAGGATGACAGCGGCTCCGATCTCCTACCCGCTTCGCCATCCTGACAGCTGCGGGCGCGGCTTCTCTCCCCCTCACCGCTCGGCCATCCTGACAGCAGGCAGCGCCCCTCTGGGGGGCGGACGAGGGAGCGCTATCATGTCGGTGAGGAGGAGAGCGTGAGGAGGAGAGAAGCCACCCCGAGGACGAGCTGTGTCGGCCGCCTGCAGCCTTTGTTGCCATGGCGCCCTGTGCGGTCGCACAGCTCGCACACCCCAAGGCCGGCCCTGGTCACACCCACCCAACAACCGCTTCCCCCAAGGCACACACATAAAAGCAATATGCACTGTTCCAGATAAATATCATAAACATGAAGACAATCACAGACACAGTGGATTAAAGTATATCCAAAGCCAAAACATTTATTTTAATTTTAGCTAGATTAGGGAATGGTTAACACCCTTGTCAGGTTTTTTTTGCTGTCTGTGATCTATTATGTAGGTTTGCCTACACATCCAGCCCAAAAGAGCCAAGAGGTGAAAGGAAATCTTGTGAAGTGAGGAAAATCTATATATTGTTGCCAGTTGATAGTGTAACAATTGTCACCATTAAAAGATGTCCCCTCTATTCCTGTGCTATTGACAACTCAAAAATATGGTGACAGTGATCACTAGGCTATCCCAAGCAAGCACACAAACAGCAATAGAAACTTAACAGGGCTCAGGGGTGTGGAAATATAAAAAAAAAACTACTTGCCCAAGGGCTAATGCGGGGACCCAATCTACTTGTCCCTCATGACAATCTACTAGTCCC